CAAAAAAAAATCAGATGACACGCTAATTCAAGCGATTACCCTTCATTCCCCCGCGAGGACGCGACCGCGCCTTCGAGAGTTCCCTCACGAGGACGCGACCGCGCCTCCGAGAGTCAGAAGTCATGGCATATGGTTTGCATCATAGTAGAAAAAAGGGCGTGAAGGGAGAAGGAAAGGAGGGAGGGGCGTGAAGAAGAGGGAAAGGGGGACGGGGGGTGAAGAGGATGACGCGAGCGAGGTGAAGAGGATGACGCGAGGAAAAGGAGAGTGAAGAGATCAACGCGAGGAGGGTGAAGGGGAGTGGACAGCACGACAAGAACGAAGAGATGAACACGACGACAAGAGCGAAGACATGAAAAACACGACAACAAGAGCGAAGAGATCAACTCGAAGACGAAGAAACCCTACGACGACAAGCCACACACAACGAGAGCGAAAACGAACACCCCACAGAAAGTAAACCAAACACAAACACACACACCTTATGCCCCCGAATCCCCTTATTCACATCCCCCACCGTCGCCTGCGCGGTGTACGTGTCGACTGTGAAAGGATTTCTCGGTAAGCCGCGCTTGTCGTCAAACCACGCCCCTCTCCACCCCTCACCCCTCCCCCCCCTTGTCCCCCTTCCGCCGCCTTCCCCCTCTCCAGCCCAACACCCCCCTTCCCTCCCCCTTTCCACCCCTCTACCCTCCCTTTCCACGCACCGCCCTCTCCACAGAAAAAAACACCCCCCCAAACAAAAGAATAACTTCACAACGGACAAAAAAACCCCCCAAACACCAAAAAACCACACCTATGATCAACGGACAATATAACCCAAAAAGAATACTAAAAAAAAACATCAAAAAACCCCCCATCCCAAAACACTCACCCGGCGTCATATGACACAACACCCGCGTCCCATCGATCCCCGCCCAGTTGAACGTCGTGTGCGGGAAGGTGTTGCTAGAGGGGGAGGGGGGGGGGTTAGTATGTTTTTTTTGTGGGGTTAGTTTTTTTTCTCCGTTTTTTTTGGGATGGGGAAAGGGGAAAGGGGGGGCGAGTAAAAGGGGTATGGGGAAGGGAGGGGAGGGAAGGGAAGGGGAAGAGGGGGGGTGGGATTGGGTGGTGTTTGAGAGGGGTGAGGTGGGAGGGTAGAGGGAGGGGTGGCGAGGGCGGGAGGAGGGATTGGGTGGGGAAGGGGAGGGGGGTGAAGGAGGGGGGAGGGGCGAGGAAACGGGGCTACAGGAAGGACGAGAAAGGGGGGAGCGAGGAGCGAGAAAGGGGGGAGCGAGGGACGAACTCACATATTATTCCAGCTCAGCTTCTGCGTAAAGAACCACTTCATGCCCGCGCTGCGGAGGATCTAGGAGGGGAAGAAGGGGTTTAGTGTTAGTCAGCTCAACGGTCCTCCATCTCGCCAGCCTCCGCCGGACACTCCCCACCTCTCCTTCCCCAAACCCAATCTACCCAACCCGCCTTCTCCACCCCATCCCAAAAAACACCCCCCAATACAAAAAAAAGGAACGTAACGAACGAACGTAACACCCCAACCCAAACAACCCAACCCATATAACACCCAATTCCACCCCACAAACCCCTCTCCCCACGCAGCTCAACATAACAGCTCAGAAAAAACACACCCCTCACCCCCCCTAACATAACACCCCCATATAACAACCCAAAAACACCCCCAACCCACTCACTCACCTGCGGCAACTGCCCACTCAACCCGAACGTGTCCGGTAACCAGGCCGTCTCGCAGTACGCGCCGAGGCGGGAGGCGAAGTATCTGGTGTGAGGGGGGGGGGGGGTGTTAGCGTATGTGGGGTGTTAGTTGACGGGTGACGAGTTAGCGTGCATTGATTTGGGTGGGGGGGGGGGGGGGGGTGGATTTATTTGGGTGTTAGTTGATGGGGAGGGGTGGGGAAGGGGAAGGAGAGGGGTGTTAGTTGATGGTTAGGATGGGGGGGGGGGGGGAAGGAGAGGAAGAGGGAGGGGGGAGAAGGGGTTGGGGGAGGCGGAGGCGAGTAGGGGAAGAGGGGAGGAGAGGGGTTGGGGGTGGGAAGTGGAGGAGGGTGGGCGAGTAGGGAGTTAGTATATGCGCAGCCATCCAAGATCGACCCATGCGCGGGCATTCAAGGTAGGGTCGCATTCAAAACACCCCCCCCCCCCCTTCCCTTTAACCCTTCCTCCTCTTCCCCACCCTTCCCCCTTCCTCCTCCCCCCTTCCTCCCAAACCCCCCACCCCCCCCCTCTTCCCTCATATAACCCAAACCCCCCCACCCCAAACACCTCAAACTCACCTCTGCCCAACCACCACCTGCCTCACCATCGCCTCCCCGCTCGGCATGTTCCCGTCGTGCTCGACCCAGGCGCCGCCGATGGGGAGGAAGGAGTGCTTTTGGTGGTGTTTTAGTATAGGAGGGGGGTGTTAGATTGTTTGTGGGTGAGTAAAGTGGAGGGGGGGAGGGTGTTTGTGGGGTTATATAGAGGGGTGGGAAATGGGAAATGGGAAGGGGAGAAGGGAAGGGGGAGGGGGAGGTTAGTTGTTTGTTTTTATTTTTGATAGGAAGGAAAGGGGAAGGGAGGGGAAGGGGAAGGGATGGGGGGAAGGGGAAGGGGAAGGAGGGCGGGGGAAAAGGAGAAGGGGGGGTTAGTTTATTTTTTATTTTTGATAGGAAGGAAGAGGAAGAGGGAGGATGTGAGGAGGTTAGGTGGAAAGGAGGGAGGAGGGAAGGAGGTGGGAAAAGGGGAGGGAAGGGGGAAGGGGAAGGGAAAAGGAAAGGAAAGGGGAAGGGAAGGGTTTTTCGGATAAAAGGGGAATGGGGGGTGAGGGGGGAAGGAGCGTGAGGAGGAGGGGAAAAGGAGGTGAAGGGGAAGGGGAATACGAAGGAAAAAGACGGCGGGAAAAAGACGCTGGGACAACAAGAAAAACAAAAACAAACCGACCACCAAACACTCACCTCCTTCACCTTCTCCCTAATCCGCTCAAACAACGTCGGATACAGCTCCTCGCACCATTTCCATTGTTGGGCCTGTGGGTGATGACATTTAGTTCAAGATAGCGCGTGGGGGAAGGGGGGGGGTTAGTGTCGGACGTTGATTACATTCATGAGTCCAAGATAGAGGGAAGGGGGGGTTAGTTAGATAGTTAGATCAATGAAGGGAAAGGATAGAGGGAGGGAAGGGAAGGGGAGGAGGGGGGAGGAAGGGGAGGAGGGGGAGAGGGTAGGGGAAAGGATAGATCAATGAGGGTGTAGGGGGAGGAGGGGGGGGAGGGCGAGGGGGGGGAGGGCGACAGTTAGTCACGACGAGCGCGACCCGCCACTCACCTGGCTGGCGACGAACCGGTGCTCCGGGTAGCGCTCTGCGAGGTCGATCTGGGTGGACCTGGGGGGGTTGGGTGGGTTAGGACATGGGTGGGGGAGTGGCGTTAGGACATGGGTGGGGTGGGGGTTAGGACAGGGGTGGGGGTTTAGGTGGGGATGCGCGACGGGATGGTGAGAGTATGCGTGACGGGATGGAGTGTGCATGCGCGACAGAATAGGGCGTGGAGTACGAGCGCGCACTCACCAGCTCCTGGCGACCTTTTGCTGCGTAGCGGAGTAGGGCCAGAGCCAGGCGGTGTCGATGTGGCAGTTGCCGATGGGCCAGATGGAGCCTGGGGGTGCGGGGGCGGTGGGGGACTGGAGAAGGGGGTGGGGGTTAGCGGGCAGAGTATGGGAGGAGGGGGCCGTTAGTGAACAACCCGTAGACACGAAGTGGGAGGGAGGGCGAGTCCGGTACTCACTTTGCCCAACTCTGGATACACCTCGTCCGGGTCGTCGACGTTGATGCCGCCGAACATGGTGGTGCGTGCGAGGTGGCGTGCGTCGGCGATGACCTTGGCGAGGTCCTCGTGTGTGCCCATGCGTGCGCGGTCAAAGATGTTAATGATGGCATTGGCGGCGGTGAGCGCGTCGTTCTGAGCGGTCGTGTTGCCGGGGAGGGTTTGGACGAGCTGGGAGGGCATGAGTACTGATAATGCAAGGCTAGATCGCAGGCGCGCACCTGCTTGAGCGCCTCAAAGTCCCACAACAAGCGCCATGCGTCCTGGTTGGGGACGACGAGGTCCGCTGCGTTGAGCGAAAAGTAGCGGTTCATGTCGGGGGGCTCGATGGTGTCGCCGTTCCAGGGGACGCCGAACATGCCGTTGCAGGTGACCTCGATGACGACGGTGTGCGCGCCCTTGTCCCAGGCGGCGGGCGGGATGATGTAGTCGACGCGGCGCTCGCGGGCGCCGCCGCCGGTGATGCCTTGGAGCGGCGTGCCCGCGGGGATCCCGCGCACGTCGTCCTCGGCGGCGAACACCATCGCCTCGCAGTCGGGGTCGAATTCAACTGCAAGAGTGTTAGTGACGACTAGGAGAGTGATGGACACGCACGCTGGACACGTTCCTCATCGCGGTACTCGGCCGGGAGGGTGATGTCGACGACGAACCAGTGGTTGCTCCAGCTCGGCCCGTACCGGTCGCCCTTCTTCGCCGGCTTGAACTCGTCCATGTGCGCCATCGCCTCCGCGTACGAGGGCTTGGTGAGCCCGGGCGCGGACCACGACTTGAGCCGCACGAGGTCGTCGCGGTTCACCTTGTACAGCGCGCTGCTCAAGTTGTGGCCCGCATAATGTCCGCCCGTAAAGTAGTCGAGCCGGTTCTGCGTCAGGCTCTTGATCCATTTGTTCCCCGCGTCCAGCGACAAACTCGGGTAGTTCGCCATCGTCGTTCAGGACAACCACCGTTACGACGCGTCCTGTGACGTCACATGTTCGACTTGCACCCCGTCCTCGAACATTCGCCTCTTCGCACTCTCGCACGTATACCCATCGCACTCTCGCACGCATACTCATCGCACTCTCGCACGCATACTCACTCCAGTCTTCGAGCACGAAAAAGGAGTATCATCCCTCCTTCCCTCGTAAAGTCCCCCCTTTCCTCGTAAAGTCCACCTTTCCCAAGTCCACCTTTCCCAAGTCCACCATCCCCGCTAGCTCAGTGGTAGAGCGTGTCACTAGTATATTCGCTCGAACATATGCATCATGACAAGGTCAGTCGTTCAAGTCGGCTGTGGGGAATGCACGATCCTCGAAATATTTTTTGGCGTTCCGCTCCTATAGCGCTCAGTCCCGCTCCTATAGCGCTCAGTCCCGCTCCTATAGCACTCAGCGCTCAGTCCCGCTCCTTCATTTTCAACCATCGATCCCTCACAAGGCACCCGACGGCCTCTCTCCCTCTCGCCCAACACCCCTCCCTTCCCCCCCTCTCCCCCTCCCTTCCCCCTTCCCTCCCACTCTCTGTTTTTTCACCTCTCCCTTCCCTCTCTCCCTCCCTTCCCCCTCTCCCACTCCTCCTCCCTCCCTCTCGCCCTTCCCCCTCCCACTCTCCCTCTCCCTTCCCCCTTCCCTTACCCACCAAAGCACGCAGGACGAGTGGGACGGTGCTTACGGTGACGACAACAGTGCAGATGACAATGGTTGCGCTCGGAGACGAGACTTGGATGACTCGGAGACGAAACTCGGACGGCGAGTGCTCTCGGTGACTCGGACGACGCGATACTCTCAGACGACGTGGCACGCCCGAAGACCCGGTGCCCCCGAGGACTCGAAGACTCGGACACGAGACGACGATCTCGGAGACGCCGGTGCGCTCGGAGACTCGAAGACGAGACGAAGACGACGACGAGGACCCGAAGACGAGACGACGATCTCGGAGACTTGGAGACTCAGAGACTCGGAGACTCGAAGACTCGAACAAGACTCGAAGACTCGAAGACTCGAAGACTCGGAGACTCGAAGACTCGAACAAGACTCGAAGACTCGAAGACGAGACAGCGAGGTGCTCGAAGACGACGACGATGGAGACTCGACGACGATCTCGAAGACGAGACGACGATGCCGAAGACTCGAAGACTCGGAGACTCGAAGACTCGACGACTCGACGATCTCGAAGACTCGGAGACTCGACGGAGACTAGAAGACTCGGAGACGAGTCGACGAAGACTCCTCGGTGACGAGACTACGATCTCAAAGACTCGACGACGATCTCAGAGACAAGACGATGGCAGGTGACTCGACGATGGTAGGTGCACTCGATGATCTCGACGAAGACGAGACGACGATCTCGAAGACTCGAACAAGACTCGGAGACTCGAACAAGTTACAAGACTCGAAGACGAGACGACTCGACGTCGGGTGCTCGACGCAGACGATCTCGGAGACTCGAAGACAAGTCGACGATCTCGGTGACTCGACGATCTCGAAGACGAGTCGACGATCTCGAAGACTCGGAGATGACGGTGCACTCGGACGGTACGCCACTGTGCACTCTCAGACGATGGTACTCCAGAGGACGAGACGCCGGTACGCCCGAAGACTCGAAGACGAGGGCTCTCGAAGACGAGTCGACGATCTCGAAGACAAGACGCCGCTGCGCTCGAAGACTAGAAGACGAGACGACGATCTCGACGATCTCGGAGACGAGACGTCGGGTGCGCTCGGAGACGAGATGACGGTGCGCTCGAAAACGAGACGGCGATCTCGAAGACGCCGACAACTCGAAGACGAGACTCAGAGACTCGACGTCGGGTGCACTCGAAGACTCGAAGACTCGGAGACGACTCGACGGAGACTCGGAGACTCTCCACAAGGAGACAAAAGTGCGCTCGGAGACGAGTCGGTGCACTCGGTGACGAGACTCGGTGACGACGATCTCGGAGACGAGACAACGACCTCGGAGACTCGAAGACGAGACGACGATGGAGACTCGAAGACTCGGAGACGATCTCGAAGACGAGTCGACGGTGACGACGCTACTCTTGATGCAGACGACAGACGACGCTACTCTGGATGCAGACGACGCTACTCTTGATGCAGACGACAGACGACGCTACTCTGGATGCAGACGACGCTACTCTTGATGCAGACGACGGCGAGACGGTGCTCGAAGACGCCGACAACTCGAAGACTCGAAGACTCGCACGGAGACTCGAAGACTCGACGACGATCTCGAAGACTCGAAGACTCGAAGACTCGGAGACTCCTCGAAGACGACGGCGCCTCGAAGACTCGGAGATGACGGAGACTCGAAGACTCGAAGACGAGACGTCGGGTGCACTCGGAGATGAGTCGACGATCTCGAAGACGAGTCGACGATCTCGAAGACAAGACAACTGTGCACTCGACAACGATCTCGGAGACTCGACGACGATCTCGACGATCTCGAAGACTCGGATGCGCTCGATGCAGACGAGTCGACGATCTCGAAGACTCCTCGAAGACGAGACGATGATCTCGAAGACTCGAAGACTCGAAGACTCGGAGACTCGACGACGAGGACCCGAAGACTCGAAGACTCGAAGACTCGACGAGTCGACGATCTCGGTGACGAGTCGAAGACTCGACGTCTCGGAGACTCCTCGGTGACGAGACTCCTCGACGGAGACGGCGAGGTGCGCTCGAAGACAACGATGGAGACTCGAACGGCGGCGGTACGCCCGAAGACTCGGAGACGGCGAGTGCGCTCGAAGACTCGAAGACTCGGTGACGAGTCGACGACGGGTGCTCGGAGACTCCTCGAAGACTCCTCGGTGACGAGACGCCGGTGCCCTCGAAGACTCGAAGACGAGTCGACGATCTCGAAGACTCGGAGACGACGGAGACGACGGAGACTTGGAGACTCCTCGGTGACGACGAAGACGATTCAGTAACTCTCAGAGCCTCCTCGATGACGACGAAGACTCGACGACGGTGCACTCGGACGGCGCCTCGAAGACTCGTCGGGTGCGCTCGAAGACGAGTCGACGATCTCAGAGACGGTGACAACTCGAAGACTCGGAGACTCGACGGTGACTCGACGGAGACTCGAAGACTCGGAGACTCCTCGGAGACTCGACGGAGACTCGAAGACGACGGTGACTCCTCGGTGACGACAGAGACTCCTCGGAGACGGCAAGTGCCCTCGGTGACGACGAAGACTCGACGACTCAAAGACGACGGCGAGTGCTCTCAGACGGTGACGACGGTGACTCGAAGACGAGACGACGACGGTGACTCGAAGACGAGACGACGACGGAGTCGACGATCTCGAAGACTCGATCTCGAAGACTCGAAGACTCGAAGACGACTCGACGGAGCGGAGACTCGAACAAGACTCGACGACGACCTCGGAGACTCGGTGACGATCTCGGAGACTCCTCGGTGACAAGACGTCGAGTGCACTCGGAGACGGCGAGTGCACTCGACGACTCGACGATCTCGAAGACGACGATCTCGGTGACTCGAAGACTCCTCGAAGACTCGACGGCGAGTCGACGATCTCGAAGACGAGATGGCGAGTGCACTCGGACGGTGCGCCCGAGGACCTAGAGACGCCGACGGGTGCTCCCAGAGACGGCGGGTGCGCTCGAAGACGACTCGAAGACTCGGAGACGAGACGACGATCTCGGAGACGAGTCGACGATCTCGGAGACGACGACGGGTGCTCCCAGAGACGACTGGGACTCGAAGACTCGGAGACTCGGAGATGAGACGACGATCTCGAAGACTCGCAGACAGCGACGGATGATCTCGGAGACTCCTCGGTGCACTCGCACGGTGCACTCGGTGACTCTACGGCGAGTGCGCTCGAAGACGATCTCGGAAACGACAACGGACTCAGAGACTCCTCGGAGACGACGGTACGCCCGAGGACCTAGAGACGGCGAGGTGCGCTCGAAGACGGAGTGGCACTCGACGCAGACGGAGCGGCACTCGACGCAGACGCCGCTGCACTCGACGCAGACGGCAAGTGCCCTCGGATGCAAAACGGCGGGTGCGCTCGACGCAGACGCCGCTGCACTCGACGCAAAACGGCGGGTGCCCTCGGATGCAGACGGAGTGGCACTCGACGCAGACGGAGTGGCACGAAGGGAAAAAGAGTGGCACGAAGGGAAAAAGAGTGGCAGGCAACAATGAGTCATGACATCTTGACAAAGAAAGAAAGACGAACCTCGGTACGTCGGCGAAGGAAGACAGACGAACGTCGATACGTCGGCGAAGGAAGACAGACGAACCTCGTACGTCGGCGAAGGAAGAAAGACGAACCTCGGTACGTCGGCGAAGGAAGACAGACGAACCTCGGTACGTCGGCGAAGGAAGAAAGACGAACCTCGGTACGTCGGCGAAGGAAGAAAGACGAACCTCGTACGTCGGGACTCGGCGGCGTCCGAGGTCATAGGTATCGCGAGGTCATAGGTATCACGGCGGCGTCATAGGTATCGCGAGGTCATAAGTAGGTATCACGGCGGCGTCCGAGGTCATAGGTATCGCGGCTACTTATGTAGGTGCAGGGCTAAGCACTTATCAGCATGAAGGAATGCGAGCAATGTACAATATTTACTGTTGGTTCTACCCTGGTAGGTCTGTATGTCTGTTCTTCTGTTCGTTCGGAAGCGTTGAATGTAGTCACGTGCTCGTGAGAACGCGGCTGGGAGCTCGAGCATTCACTTCCTCTTCGACGTCCACCACATTGTCCCGCACAGCGACCAACCATCACACGTCCCGCTCAGTGCGCCCCTTCGCTATAGCAGCACTCATAACGGAGGGTCGTCCAGCAACGGAAAACACCTGTAAATACCAAGAAGTCAAGTAGTACTCCGAATCCGCGCCGCTCGATGGGCTAAAGCGCGGCTGAAGGCAGACTGGGTGGAGAAGAGCACCTCTATTCCGAAAAGCACTCCCCTTTCCAGGGCCTCTAAACCGTCTTCGCTGTATAGTGCGCTCCCACGAATACAACCCCGCTGACAGGGCGCGCACGCGCCTGACGCCGGTCCTCAAGATGCTGTGATAAGACTTTCAAGCGTCCTTGCTCGCCCGCCCGCTAGCTCGCAGTGGCTCTCCGTCTCCTCCATGACCTCAATGGATAACTTGAACATGACCTCCTCCTCGGACGACTCCACCCCGGCGCTCTTCCAGCCCACCATCGTCGGCGGCCTCCCCCTCCAGCATCGGCTCGTCCTTGCGCCCATGACGCGCTATCGGGTCCACGGCGGTGGTGTGCCCGGCGGCGGCGGCGCCTCCGACGGTAGTGAAGCTGACGC